AGTTCCTCAAGCCAGCTAATGGGGAGAAGTGCCACCGGTCAAGTGTTCTCCGCAGCTCACACAGCCCTGCATGTGAACAGCTGCGGTGACAGTGTAGAAAAAAAGGAAAACTGGGTAGTGTTTCTGGCCCCATAAAGTGAGTTAACGTTAAATGTGCATGTCTAATTAGCGAGGTGTATGGCAACCTCTAGTGGTACAGGCCTGCTCAGAGAACAGCAAACATTCCAATATATGAAGCTATAGGAAAAGCGTTTGCCTTAAGTTATGAGTCTTCTTCTTGTCACTAATTTTATGAGAATGACATGGTGATGAGATGTCAGCGTACAGCTGTGCAGGGAAAGACTCTCCACTTCCAAGCGTCCCACACAGCAGAGCAGGCAGGCTAGCTGTAGAAAAGCTGCGTTAGCACGGAAGCTTGTTTCCAAACAGGTTAAAGGAATCGAGGCCAACTGACTTGAAGTTTTAAGAGCCCTAATAGGCCAGTTAGGTGCATGGCTTCACTTTTTTGTAATTGTACTTGCAGAATAGAAACCAAGCAAAGGAAAAACCTACCCTCACTGCAGGCATGGAACACTCCACCTGGCTGTGCTTTGTGGCTTAGAGACAATACAGCCACCTCTGGCAGTCATTTGTGACAACAATGACATCAACACACACTTTTTTTCTTTTTTTTTTTTTTACAATAGCCTACCAATATAATTTAAAGATACTACAAATGTGAGCACTCCACAAATACGAGAGAGACACAGTGCAGTGCAACATCACCCCTGTCACTATGCTGATAAATCAGCTCTGTGTAATTAAAAGCAAAGCAGTGGTACCAGCGGATAGAGAAGGGAAGGATCTCAAAGTCAGGGCAGTCTACAATCGAGGACATCGAACATTAAACATATAGTGCCCTGGATCTTATTATAAAACATCTATTACATCTATTTTTACTTCCAGCACCTGCTTGCGATAGATTTATACAAATCTGTCGATTTTCATGCTCGCTGGAACATGATACAAATTACCCAACATGGTGAAGTTGTATTTTACCAAGCTCTTAAGTACACTACGTTGAATATTCCCAGCTAATCGTTTCATAGAAAATAGTCTTCAAAATTTAGAACAATTGGCAGTCTCTGCTCAGAATAGGATTAGGAAAAAGCCTGCATGGAAATGGAATTACTTCCCACATTAAGGAAGGAATCATTAGAGCATCTGGTGAGGCTTAAATTATGACTGTCTATTCAGTTGTATTGCTAAGCAGATTGTAAGTTAAGTGTTTCACAGCTACTTAATTTAAAAACCTATACCCTAAAATACTTTATGTAACATGAAGTACCATCTTCTTTATAAGCTTTTCCTTCACAGAAAACACTTTTTCATCACGGATACTGCGGTTTCTTCTCTCAGAGATGCTTGCACTCTGATGGCAGAACCAGAATAGGAGTTTAAATATAAATATTCTGTCTTGGCATCATGGAGCAAGCTGCTCCATCAACGCTGGCTAAATTTAGTAACAGTGGGTAACAGACTTCATGAGGTAGGAAAGCAAAGGATAATGTACGCCCCAAAACATCAGTTTCTTATGAAATATGTGTATTCCTACTGCTTTTCTTGAAAATTGCAACTTCATAACAAATCTGTGTATCTTGAAAGGAAATCAGGTTAAAATACTTCCTTTCTGGTGCTTAAGCCTGCCAGGGAACCCAAGGTGGTAAAGCTCCTGAGAAGAAAATGTCACCAAACTAGCAGTAAAGTCTTACGGGAGACAGATTGCCCCTGGAACTGACTCCTCCTTCCTGCCTGCCCATGTCCTAACCGCAAGGGACATTTTACAACAGATTTTAATACATTTTTATAATATGGTCTTTTTATTTATAAGCAATCATGATCATAGTGACAAATTAAATCCCACTCTCAGTGGCTATTTTGGCCTACTGTCCAGACAAAATAAGGTTTTCGGTCAACATTACACATGAAAATGCAGGGCCGGGGGGAGGTGCATGAAACCCAAATGTATTCCCCAACTTTCATCTGTTTTTTCTGGTTCTGTTTTAAATTTAAATTCACCTCCTTCATTACAGTGTCTACACCATACTAATATAGAGCCTCTGGCTACAACAAGGCAGAAGCTTAAAAATAACAGTGTAGAATATCTTTCGACTATTTAAGAATATCATATTATATATATTAAAATATATATCATATTGCCTTTTTGTTCTGCATTTTCAGTTGATGAGAATGTCCATTTTCTGTACCTATCCTTACATTCTATCGAACTATAAAAACACCGCTCCAACCCTGCCGGCACCCAATTGTTGGTACAACCAGCATCATTCTCGGACTGCTACCCCACCAGACTACCACAATTCTCAAAATGCATTGAGGGCTTAAACTAAATTACAGAATCATAGAATCGTTAGGTTGGAAAAGACCTTTGAGATCATCAAGTCCAACTGTTAACCGAACACTCCCAAGGCCACCACTAAACCATATCCCTAAGCACCACATCTACCCATCTTTTAAACACCTCCAAGGATGGAGACTCCACCACTTCCCTGGGCAGCCTGTTCCAGGGCTTGGCAACCCTTTATCTTCCACCACCCATCCCCAAAGATTACTGAAGTGTTAACTTCAAGCACAGTCTTGCTGTTCTTACACAGACAAACTCTCACTCTGCTCTCTGAACGATTAGACAGCACAATTCTCTGTGCTTTTGAACCCTGACTGATTATTATTTGTAATAATGCCCAGCTCAGATCCCATGTGAAGTCTCTCTGATAAAAGCCACACAGAAACCAACCAACAGTAGCTGCTAAGAGCTTACATCTTTGGAAGAACCAAGAGTTTTCAATATGCCAGTACTATGTGTTTCCTCTAAGGTGCCTCTGTTTGGCATACTTAAAGCGTGGCTTTGGTAGCCCTTCACACCACAAAAGAGGTAATTTGACAGACAATTTCAATGTGGCAGAATTTTTTCCCTGTTTTCTGCCATTTACCCCTACTGCCTCCTTTCCACACGCATCAGCATTAGGCAACAACAGGAGTCTATCAGCCTTCAACAAGAGTATCAGCACAATTATTTCACAACCAAAATCAAGCAGCAACGTTGAAGTCTCATTATAACTATGCATGCCCAGAGAGATGATGAATAAGGCACCTCAACATCACAGCAGACTGTTGAAACATCGCATACATGGACTGCAAGAGAATTTTTGGGTGCAGCACATCCTTCCCTGGGTCATGAGATGGGTCTTAAACATCACAGTGTCAGCCTGCCCCAGAGATGTCATTACAGATGGTGAAAATGGCAAGTGAGACGGCTGGAACAGGCTGGTGCAGGGAGGAGCCTCACAACACATAAAGGCTCCTTTTACTGAATTGTAAGGTTGAGAGGAGACACGTGTGCAAAGGTACTGAGGCTGCTGCTTCTCCACTGATGGCTGCCACCTCCTCTGATAAGCCAGCAGACCACAGGCTTAGCCATTTCATAACCCAATTAAATCAAAATAATCCCGCTGAGCTTACTTTCAACCCTGAGTTTAAATTTCGAACAGCAGACTTCCACAAACTCAGAGCACTTTGACAAAAGCCAAGCAGAAATGCACATGTAGCTACGCTGGATGACTACAAGATCACTGAGTGGTGGTAACAGCCGGCTGTAACAGCACTAGCAAGATAACCTCTTCCTGGCCCAAATAAAACCAGAGGAACACATCTTGCTTTGGTCTACAGAAACAGCAGTAGAATAAAATTGAACAAAAGCAGAAACTGGGAACACAGGAAAAAGCTCTGAAGTGGAAAACAAAGTATCACACTAAAAACCGGATTTTTGACCATCAAGGTAGCGTATCTCACACCACAGCAGGATCTAGGATTTCAGAGGCCAGAATTTGCAAATGCTTGGAAAAATCAGGCTCCATGTTCATGAAATGAAGACAGCAGATATTTAAGACAATGACTGTAATATATAACAGGAAAATAGCTTCATTTCAAATTCTGAACACTCATTATCACTGCCAAGGGTTTGAAAAGAGGGCGAGTATCAAGAAGGGAAAAGGTAACTGCAGAACGCACTCATCCTGGGTACCTTTCCATATTTTTGCAACCAGCCATTTCCGAAAGAGAAGGGGCTCAGAGAGAATTAAATCCTAAAGAGCAGCGGTTCAAGAACAAGATGCCTCTCTTGTTAACCCAGTCCTTTACAAAGCGTACAGGCACGCAATTATCATTTACTTATTTTTGGCACACTGTCTGTACTTGACAAGCGCTTTAACAGTTTATTCCAGATCGCATTAACAAGGACCTTCCCAGTTTCCCTCGGAGCTTGGAGCAGGGCTGGCTGCCAAGATAAGAAGGATGCCTGAAACACGATTACCTGCCTTTACAAAGTGGTCTGCAGCACAGGTACAAACTAGGAAGGACCAACTTCAGTATCCACCTCTTTAAAGTTATGGCCCTGTTTTAGAACCAGAGCAGATATCGACTACTTATTACTAAACAGGCTAATAAATTTTATCAGTTGAAAAGCACGGGTGTAGGTTTTATCGCCCATATTTGCAGGACCTCGTCGCAAAGTGATCATTGCATTCTGTCTGATTTAACAAACAGATCTTCTGCCAAATACGCAGGAACAAGTAAAGCAAGTTGAAAATCCAGTCTGCGTAGTATTTGAGAACCACCACTCAGTGCACTTTTATAATAACATGATACCTGACTGAAAAAAAGCACAATTAACACAAATCCCTGAAAACTTTCTGGTTTGAAAGCAGCTACTGAGCTGCTCTGTTAAGAAAATCAAAAGTTTCTCAGACAGAGAAACCAATAGTTTTTGTGCATTCAGAACAAGTTCAAGTATAAAGCAACTCAAGACTTATTCTGGGATTATTTAGCTACTCTGTTATCATTTCACCTATTTAGTTCATCAGTATGTATTAAGACATATAAAATTCAAGTTCTTCTACTCATGAGTTTCAGCAAAGATGAGTTTCAAGAGCAGTCTTTATATTTACCTGATGATCCTCTGAGCAGCATACTGATGAAGCGAGCGGAACTGTGCCGACATATTTGCTAAGGCTGCCAGACAATTGGTATGAAGGTATTTGTCCTGTCAGAAACAAGAGGAAAGGAAAAAAATGCATTAAACCGTCCTTTTGATATACACTGAGACCTACTGCAGGAACCACTCAAAAGACTGAGTAATATGTGTTCCTTTAAAGGACGTGGTCAAAAGCATATAGGAGAAATGCAAAGTGTATATACTTGGTGATGTTTTATATAAGTTTTCTTAAAAGCTAAGGCTTATAAAAGAGTGACTGTTTCATACAGATTTCAGAGTGTGTATGTATACACACATATGTATAGATGTATGTCTTCGTATCTTTAATGATGTTGATTTACAATGACATAAATACAATAAATACTGAAAGACATTCTCCTCCTCTCCCTTTTTCTCTCTCCTTTTTGTAGTCTTTTCCTAAAATTTTCTGCTTCATAACACATCTCCCCATTAACTCTTTCAAAGCATTCAATACAAACAACCTATAAGGAACTGTTTCTTCTCGTCAACCTAAGGAACTTTTCCTTCTCATGTGGAGATGAGCAGTTTGGTGCCTGAACCATGGACTTTTGAGAAACCTACTCGATGAACTGAACAATAATCCAGAGATGGTGTTACAAGTTCAGAAGCTAGCATTACGCTTAGTTAATAGGGCTGACTCCCATTCCTTCCCTCCTGTAAATTCAGACGCCAACTGGTTGCAACAGAATGAAGAAAAATCCCACACCCTGTTTGAAGCAGAATTCATGCTGTTGAAGCTGGAAATCCACACTACGTGCACAGGCACTACACGTAACTCTTACCCTTGTCCGTGTCATGTTGTACTGGATGGTTCTTATCACAACTAGAATCAGGAGACTCCCAAGTGAGATCTCTGTTAAGACACGCTCAGCATACCAAGTGATATTTTTCAATATCTGAAAAAAAGGAACAAAGTTCTTCAGCACCTAGGTCTGACTAAGAGCATAGAAAGTTGTCAGGACTCTCACATCACTTAAGATCAGTAAATTAGTTCCAGCCTCAAATGTGACCAAAATCTATTCTAAGCTAAAGCAAAAAAAATAAAAGAAAAGGCGGGGGGGGGGAGGGGAAGAAAAAAATACAAAAATAAACAAACAAAGAAAAACAGACCTCTGCAGTATTATCACCTAGTAGATCTCATCAACTTTATCCTAAGTCATGTGGAAACACATGAAGTGCAGAAAAATCATGAAATTTGGCAATTCCCTAATTTCTATACCAAGTGCCACCACAGTCCTATACCCTTTTTGATCTTGCCCTTTACACTTTACAAAGTTTCCAGTTGCACCCTAGACACCTGAATAACATTGCCAATTCCTTCCCATTTTCCCTCATTACAAGTTGGGCAAGAGGCAGCATGTACAAGCTCTGACTGACTGGCAAGAGCACACATGCTGAAGGTCGCAGGGCAAACCAACAGGTTAACTGCTGACTTCACACCGAAGCCTTTCTCTTGCCAGAGGTGAGGTCTTTTTCCTTAACAGGTTAGAGAAAGTCATCAGCTAGGTTAAGAGCTTTGTATCATAGAATCACAGAACCGTTTAGGTTGGAAACGACCTTTAGACCATCGAGTCCAACCATTAACCCAGCACTGCCAAGTCCATAGAATCATTAAGGTTGGAAAAAAACCCATGTCCCTGAGCACTATGTCCACGTGACTTGTAAACACCTCCAGGGATGGTGACTCCACCACTTCCCTGGGCAGCCTGTGCCAGTGCTTGACAACCCTTTCTATGAAGAAATTTTTCCTAATATCCACTCTAAACCTCCCCTGGCACAACTTGAGGCCATTCCCTCT